TTAAAGCACATAAAATCATATTAAAATATATACAAGTATGTACTGTATTTACAGTACACGCATTCGTAAATTTAGATTCCTTTTTTTGTACTATATTAAAAACTAAAATTTATTTGTTTGTAAGCTTAAAATAGATTATTATTAACCATATATTATTTAAAATGCTTTTTTAGTGATAAGTAGATTCGGAGACAGGTAAATTCGACTTACGTCGTTTTTCGACTTACATCGTTTTCTTGGAACCAATTACCGACGTAAGGCGAGGTATACCTGTATTACACAATTTGCATATAACATTTATTTGGTTGTTAAACACATGCTGTTTACCTATCTAAGAGGCTATTTCTCTATGGTCAACATTTCTGTTTTTCACAAGAAAGTAAAACATGGAGTGAAGGTGTAAACCTGATCGGTAGTGATGTGACAATCACTATTGATCAAATCATTGCCATGCAATGAAATTCATCTTAATGCAATGATGTCACTGCTAATCAGGTTTACACCTTCATTCTGCTTATCAAATAGTCCATGTTTTACTTTCTTATGAAAAAATAGAAATATTGACCATAGAGAAATAGCCTCTTAGTTAGGTAAATAGCATGTCTTTAACTACCAAATACATGTTTGTACTAAGTATCACATGACTTACAAGGAAAATGTCACTACATGCAAGTTCAAACAAAAATAAATAATACATAATTGTGATAAACATTAATTATAATTTAACACTGCAAATATTTTACATAAATACTTTTGTTACAGTGGCAAGATGACCCAACCTGCGCAGTGTAACCAGGTCGTGACTTTCATAAATCACGATTCCCGTCTTCATCCGCAAAACCAGACTTCTGGTCCCGTGCCGACCGCTTCTTCCGCCACAAAGGAATTGGACGATTTGATGGCTTCCCTGTCTGACTTTAAGGTACAGTACCTTGGTTAAAAATTTGTCAACATTTAAATTTTTTTATGAGCATATGATAATTTCAATAATTTGGACTTCTATCAAATGGTTTTTACCTCTCATATTGCTTAAATCTTAAATTTTCTTATACTTGAGTAATTACATACATAAATGCAACTCTCTCAAGTAAGTTTTCTTATGTTTTCATATTACCTTACTCTTGCACATTAGTTAATTTAAATCTAAAAATAGATAAAATTAGTTTGGAGAAATTTTCTTAGACTTTTGTTATTAACTGAATCATTAGTTTTAACTTTCAAAAATTTAATATATTTTATTTTTACAAAATTGATTAAGATTTATCTAATCAAAAGTTATTTAGCTATTAAAACAGCATAGCAGTTGTCATACATACACTGTAATAATTGTAATCCTTTGTCAAGATTTCCTAAGTTTTGTAGACACTTCACTTTTCCATTGCCAGAACCTGAAGATGATCCACTTCCAGTCTTTCTGTAATTCATTTTATATGAAACATTACTAATTGACATCAACAAAATACTTGTTTCTTACAAACATTTTTAGTATGAAACATCTTATATCACCTTTTAAAATTGCAAACAAGTTCTTCACATATGAATTAAATTCATTTTTGTGATTTAATTAAGTCTTATTTCGCTAGAATTCAAAAATTATATTCCTAAATTTTGAAATGTTTTTTAATCAAAAATAGTTTAACAATTGTAATCATTTAAACTTTTGGATTTTAATATTAGATAAATTATTTTAAACTGTATATAAAAAAATTTCTGTTAGTATTTTCACTTCATGTAAAAATCTAAATAGCTACAAGAATGCTACAAAATATTAATCTTATTGCCAATCTTCCAACTATATAATTAATACATTATTAAATGAACTTTATTAAATAAAATAGCTTGTTTTTAACACATTTTATGAATCAAGTCATGAAACATTACTATGATCATAATGTGATTGTGTATAATTAAGTGATTACAATGTCACATCAAATGAATAATTTACTATGGAACACTGTACTATTTAAAGCATTCTTTAGGACTTTGTAGAAACTCCCCTTGCCTGGATATATGTGGTGATATGATTGTGCATAGAGGCACCATGAGCTATCCTGCAATATATTTGTCCACAGACATTGCAACTGCCTTTACAATCCCTTATGCTCACAAATGGCCAAAGTTAATCCCAAAAATGCTTGATGGATGATGACAAATTCAGACAGCAGGCACGCCAAGAAAGTAGCAATGTGACAGACATTTCTGGGAAACCCTAGCTAATGCAGCCAATCATTATATTGCTGTAAAGTGGTTGTTTGCAGCCCTGCCACAAAAAAGCAACATGAGGACATGGGATTTCCCAAACACACTGCTATCATTGTTTCTTATACCAACAGTTATAGAGCACTTTGCAGTAATTGTATGTGTGTGTGTAATTTATTTGTCGACGAGCATACATCACATCAATGTTATATATTAAATGTAACGAAACTGCATTACAGAAACTGTTTGAGAGAGAATTTTTTTTTTAATGTTACATTAAAAGAACTCAACTTCTCAGAGATCTTGGTGTATGTTTACTAAATTGCATTATTAGAATATTTCTATTGTTTACTATAAGTGATAATAACTTTTTGAAAAATATTAATAACACTGAGTGACAACAGAAGATCCAATAGAATTAACATTTTACTCAGATGATTATTTCTTTGGTTCATAAACTGCCTTCTCTGATAATTCATCAAATATAGATAAATGATGTGAGAGAATAGTGAAATATTTTGATTAAAAATGGCCAGTTTAAAGTATTGAAAAATTTTATTAAAATCAGTATTTAATCATTTGATTAATATAATTTTTTTTCTTTAGCTGAATACTAACACTACTCCAAACCATGTGGGAACAAATGATCCAGCTTATGCCAAACCTCAGAAATCCAATAAGTCTCCTTCATCTACAAACAATAGAAGCAATCAGTTAGATTCCATGTTGGGCACTCTTCGATCGGATATGAGCAGACAAGGAGTTACAACAACCGCAAAGGGACACTGTGCTGCTTGCCACAAACCGATTGTCGGACAGGTAAGAAAAATTTAAGTCACATTCACTGTATTTAATTTTATAGATTTTATTCTTGTGAACATTAAATTTCCAATACAATGGCAATGCTATTTTTTTTTTTTTTTTTTAGTGAAAAATTACTTTTCACTAGAATCTAATTATTAAAATTAAATAACTCAGGATTTGGAAAAATTGAACTGGGACAGAATTTAAATCATGCAGCTTATATGAATATGGCAGCAGTTACTCTATACAATCTTTTTTTTTTCTAAATACAGTATAACCTCTTTATTATGGAGTTCAGGAGACTAAAAAATGCAGACTTCATAATAATGAGGTTCATATTAATCAAACTCAATTGAAACATGATGTTTTGCATTCAACACATAGTTATTGCTTATTTGAGTTTTGGAATGCAATGCTGCTTATCACTAACTTAAATCACAGCTAAGTTTTATTCAAAATGGCATGACCTATGCTAAAAACAATTAGGGTATGTAGTTTTGGTATGCATTGGCACTATTTTTGTCTTGTGTGTATTCATTTAAAGATCATATAACTTGTCAAAGTGACTCAAAAGTTCTGGCAAACACATTTTATGGCACTGCCAGTGTATTCTCATCATGTGCTTTTGGCAGTAAGTTATAACCTGATTCTTCTACACCATCTATTGCTCCATTTCCTTTTCTCCTTCACTGTTAAATTAATGTCTTTTCTGACTAATTCTTCCCATAAGAATCTTGCTGGTTGCCATCACATTAACTCTTCAGTCTGATTTTAGAAACTATGATTCCTGTATAATTGTCCATTTTTCTTTAGGATTTGTTTTCTCTTGCTTGTACCATCCTTGGCTGTTTTTTTCAAATTGCTGTAGATCATTGAAATAACATTCTATGACTATTGCTATTTACCCTTTTTGATTTCTTCTAAGTTTTGTGTCTTGCACTTACATTTTGCCATTTCCAATCACTCACAAAGACTAGCGTTCTTGTTTAGTCTTCCTCCAAAGTGAAGAAAGAATGTGCAAGTTACTGTCTGCAGGCCATGTATGCGAGATCCCACAATGGCATAAAATTTCAGGCTCACATGTCCTAAAAATTACAGTATGTATTACCTTCATATTAACCAATCCAAATAACACAACTTCCATATTCTGTAGTAACTGAACAGCTTTACATTAAAATTTCTATCTTTGCTCACAGGACTGGAAAATGACTTAATTATATCCAATATTGGATAAAGGATGTTGTTATTTAGTATTACAGTATATTATTCATTATCACAGTCTTATAGAAACTTAATATCTTAATGAATAATGACAATTTTGTAAGATTGCTGACTAGGTGCAATTTTTGAGATGGTCAAGGGGTCCGAGATAATTGTATGTGGGTGCGATTTATACATTGAGACTTACCATTTAATAAAAAAAAAAATTCTTACAAAATTTAGCTATATTCATCTTTATCCTTTACAATCTTCTCAAATTGACTAACCAGAGTCCAGGAAAAGTCCGAATGTTGTCATAAATGTAGTCAATCGGTTCCTCAGTGATTGCCATCTAAAGGATCGATGGCCCTGGGACTTGCTGGAAGTTTTGGATCAGATAAGTACCTGAGGTCAACTGCAGGTACTTATCTGATCCAAAACTTCCAGCAAGTCCCAGTGCCATCGATCCTTTAGATGGCAATCACTGAGGAACCGATTGACTATGCAATGCAGTTGGTCACTTGATTGCCTATCACAGGAAACCTGGATTTTGTTAAGCAGCGGGAGCATATCATGGTGGATCACAGATTGGCAAGAAAAAGACTGATTTTGGAGAAAAAACATTAGTCCTTGAAACATGAGTTATTAAAGGGTTTCCTCCTTGAGTTTTCATTCTGATTGAACAATGATATCCCTCATCGCTTAGTCTTCCCTTGTCTCCAGGTGACAATTCAAAACCTTTCAGGGCATGGGAGAGGTTGACATCAATGTTCAACACGATACCAATTGGCTAGAGTTCCTTTGAACTTCCCCTCGTAATTCCAGCCTTTTTTTTTTTATCTTTTTGACAGAAATTTTTTAATATAATTTTTATGAGACCAAGTTTTGCATTGGTTTTTATTTTGGAAAGGTGAAAGTTAAAATGTTACCTATTAATAATATCCAGTGGAACAGTTAAATACTAAATTTCAAAGTCCATCCGGGACTTCACAATTTGATTGTCATTATTTATAATGCCTATAACATGGCATTGTAATTTTGCACAATTTTGTTAGTTTGATTTATATAAATTTCAGGAGTTTTTTTTATCATAATATGTCACATTGACCGGTCACTATGAATATTGCTATCACCTAGTAAGGCAAAGTGATGATTATCCAACAAACACTTGTGTCTGAGTTGTGCATGCATATTGCATTTAGTATCAAATTTTAAATTCATGTGACCAGTAGTTAATCTTATGCATTTTAAGAGACAAAAGTAACAATCATGGAGCAATCATTAAGTGATATTTAATTGGTTGTTGAAGCAGTTTTCATGAGTTAATGGTATCAAAAAGGTCAAAACAGTTAAATTTTACAAAATCAGCATATTTGACAATTGTATAAAAAGTGAAAGTGTCAAAAATCAAAGTGACTTCAAAGTTACCAGAAGTACATGCATGTACTGTACTTACTGTATGTAGATATGACATTGTATCAATTGGAGAAATAGGAAAATTAATTGTGCTTGTAAAAGAAGGTAATGTGATTAAATATTACATTCACACTGAAGAAATATTTCAGACATTGCATGATGTCCATATTGCTATTGGCCATGGTGGCAGAAACTGTATGGAAAAAGAATTAAATATGAACTATAAAAATACTACAAGGGTGATGATCACAATTTACTTGTTATGTGAAACATGGCATATTAAATCTATTATATTCCAGAAACCAATTTACCATTTGTAAAGAAAACTTCATTTCTGTTGGAGACATACTGAGTACAGAAATTTTATATAGAGAACGTCAGCACTTTCTGGAGTCCAATGCTATAGTTGATGCTGTTGCAAATCTAATAGATACAAATGCTATAAAGAAAAAAAATTATATAATTTCAAATGTCATTCCATCAAAATCTTAATTGCTCGAATAAATAAGTTTTAAAAATATTTAATTTATACTAAAAACTGACATTCCAGAAGTTTCCTTTAAGTTGATTTTTTCATTGAAGTATAAATTTGTTAAAGTAATATTAACAAAAAGTATTATTAATTGATACAGTTAATAATACTTTTTAATTTATAGAATTAACTGAAGATGAACGCTTAATGCGTTTGAAAACGTTTTTAAGTTATTAAAGAATTTTGCTGGATAGTTAAATGGTTTTTATTTTTATTGATTTTATTCTCCAGTAAGCAAGTATACTATTAAAATTAATACTGTAATAAACGACCCATTTTGAGTAGAATAGATTATTTTTCCTTGTAGTGTAAAAAAAAAAAAAACGGATTTGACTTTCGATTGTAAAGCAATTCAAACATCTGGTTTTAGCAGAATATTCTACCGTACTCAAAAATTTAGATTAGAATTTAAGGACACCCACCCCTTTAAGTGGATGCAATCCCATCCCTGATATGCAAGCACGTGCTAGTTTGCATATCAAGGAGTGCATATGATGGTAATGCCAGGTTTGGCTATTTTATGCCAAATTTGTTTTTTATTACTCTTTTCTAGCTTTTAAAATAATCTTCAACAAAAAAAATTACAAATTTCTTTTATTTTTGTTTTGTTTAACCACTCTGTTATATTACTTCACACATAAAATGGTAAATATCGTTTCCTCATCATTTTCTTTGATTTGAAAAATCATTTAGAATTTGTTCTTGTTAATAAATTTAATTTTATTTGGTGATAAATTAATTCAAAATACTGTATTATATTTTAGAGATTTCAATTGTTTGTTAAGCCTTAACTTCCTGAATTATACGACCTTGACCCTGAAATTCATTAATATGAATTTTCAATAAAGCTAACTAACTACTCTTTCCTAGCAATTTATATTAATGTGAGTTGACTGTATTTATTTAACTAATAAAATCATACAAACATTCTTAAATTCACAAAAGGACCTCCACAGTTTTTCATTATACTCAAAGTAACATTTTCTGGTTGCAATTCAAACATCTGCCTATCAATAGGCTGCTACTCCTCTCATTTTCCTTAAGCTGGACTCAGCATCTCATCAATAAAGCACAACTTATGTCATTTAACATGATCAGTGCTTTGTTAGTAAATACTATAAATATAGATAGATAGTCTATCTACAACATTTGTTGTTAGGTTACAGATGACAATTCAAATCAGTAACTGCTCTAGAAAAAGTTTAGCGCTCATTATATCTACTCAAATTTTAAAAATGCAATATTGGACTTAATATTGTTTTGTAAAGATTAATATGCTTAGTAGCTTTGTTTTCAATACTGACATATGAGAACCTATCTACGATTAGAAAGTAATGTGCTGCCCATCTTTATAAATGACATACTTGTATATGCAAGATATGTTGATAATGTTTTCATCATTTGGAGGAATAGTAATAGCGCTCAATATTTCCTTAACAAAATGAATAACAACCCATATGGTGTGACTTTATCATTGGAACAGAAAAGTGACATTAACATAAATTTTCTGAATCTGTCCATAACTTGTAAATATGGGGAAATATGGACAGATATTTATCGAAAGCCTAGCTATCTACCTATTATTATACCGAAGAATTCCTTTGATCCTCAGAATTTTAAGAATGCAGCCTTTCGATCATGGATAAAGCGGGCCTATACCCACTGTACGAGTATGGTTGGCACACATAGAGAATTAAATTACATACGTACAATAGCTGTACAACAGGGATATTGTATAAGTGAAATTAATGCTCTTATTGATAAATTTTGTAATCAAACAAATAAGCAACCTACAACTAAGAACCAAGGACGAAAAGTAGTTCTCAACTATATACCTTTCCTACAATCAATGATTAAAAAAGTATCTCACAAGAATAATTTAAGAGTTATTTATCGT